CTATAGACAGAATAACCCTAAACTACGCTATGTTCTCTAGACAGAACAACCTTAAACTACGCTATGTTCTACAGACAGAATAACCCTAAACTACGCTATGTTCTATAGACAGAATAACTAAACTACGCTATGTTCTATTGACAGAATAACCCTAAACTACGCTATGTTCTCTAGACAGAACAACTCAAACTAAGCTATGTTCTATAGACAGAATAACCCTAAACTACGCTATGTTCTATAGACAGAATAACTAAACTACGCTATGTTCTATTGACAGAATAACCAAACAACGCTATGCTCTACAGACTAAACAAATAGTAGTCGGCTGTATAAATGCGCCACATGAGTACACATTTTACTGAATGTCCTTCAGTTTGTAAGAAAATACGTTGTTTTTTTCTGGTTTAGAAGAGAAATAAGAAGGAAATATTCCATTAGTTTCTGTCGAGGTAGATCGAACGAATTTATGTAAACTTCATCCACTACATGTTAACTTTAAACAATGAAAACTACACATCAGAAAGACAAGAGTCTACAGAAGTCACTTTTAGTGCAGCGAACGTTAGTATCTCCTTGGGTACACAGTGAAACACCGATAGTTCTTGGAAAATGTCAAATTTGTGCGCAGTCGCAGCTGAAAACATCTTGTCCAAAACTTGTGAAAATTTATCAAATGCCTGATTAAAAATTCTGTGTATTTAAACATTATTTGATGGCACATCCTCTCATGAAAGACGTTGTTCTCTCTAAGAAAGTTGCGTTATTGGAGCTGAACGACCTCGTCTACAAGAAGGTTTTTTCTTTAACTTATATCTATTAGTGTAGAAATGATCAGGAAATAAGAGAACTCAAATTTAAACTGTTTCATTTAAATTGATATTTTTATCACGTCGACTGTTTTTTTTTCTCACGTAAATGGTATTGTGACAGTATATCGAATTGAAATAGTAAAAACATTTTTACCGATAACATAAAACATCGAATATTTTACCTGTCTTATCATGAACCAAATGTAATCAGTGGAATACTTTGATATCATGCGATTCTTTTACCTTGTTTTTTTTATAAGGCCCACAAGTGGCTCAGCAGTAAATCTGAGAACTCATACTGCTAAAACCAGGTTTTGATGTTCGTGGGGGGTGCAGTAAATATATCCCATTGGGTAGTTTTATGTTTAACAACAAACATAGGATATATACGTCTTTTTGTGTAATGACTCGTGTAATGCCACTTTTAACCATGGAAGAAATCTGGACCCAATGTGCCTGAGAACAACCTTTTACAATTTCGATGACGAGGAACCCACTTTGAGACTAATAATGCTTGGAAACGACTTGAACGGGTAATGAAGAAAAACTTTAATATAAGTTTAACATAACAGCAAATGTACAATGTTTCGACAAGGTGTTGGTACCTGATGATGACAAAGGTTATGACTTATATTAAAGTTTTTATTCATTACCCATTCAAGCCGTCTCCAGACATTATTAACCTTTTACAATGATCCAAAGTGCCATAGGACAGACTTTTATTACGACCCGATGTGTCACATACCGGAGGGTGTCTTTTTCAGCCTATAGTTGGGCCACAAACACCAAATTTTCTGGTGGCAGTTGAGACATCAAGGCCAATTTCAAAGATAATGACCAAAAAAGGCTTTACATCCGATTGCACTGTCTTGGAAGATTCCTACTCCATCAGATTACATCCATATTCAAATCTTCCACTGTAAATTCCAACGTTTTAACTATTACCTATCTTAGTTTTCTTTCAGTTTAATAAAAAACAGAAGCAACAAAACAAAGATACATTCAAGAAACCACCGTTAGTAGAATATACCAAACCAACAAACTCCACTTCTGCTGGCTATTATAAAGCAGTTTTTTCTCTTCTATAAACGGTAGTTACAGCCATGGTTATAGTAAATTTGATTAAAGTTTCGTCACTCGCTGTTGCTCTAGTTAATCGCATGTAGGGATTTGCTTATGTGTGTCATGCTTATAGTTAAAATGATAGTGAGTCAGTGTTACAACCTTCATAAAAGGTGGGTAGTGTTTACTTACTTGGGAACTCTTTCTGCATCAACCATTTTGTGGTGTTCGATTATACGTTTTACAAGTACATTTACGGACTCTTATACGTTGAATAATTATGTTGAAAGTATATGGACTTTTACGGGTTGGATTAGTGGTATTAAAATTACATGGACTGGTATGGCTGGATTAGCAGTATTAAAAGTATACGGACTGGTATGGCTGTATTAAAGGTTTTAAAGGATACGGACTGGTATGGCTGGATTAGTAGTATTAAAAGTATACGGACTGGTATGGCTGTATTAAAGGTTTTAAAGGATACGGACTGGTGTGGCTGGATTAGTAGTATTACAAGTATACGGACTGGTATGGCTGTATTAGTAGTATTACAAGTATACGGACTGGTATGGCTGTATTAAAGGTTTTAAAGGATACGGACTGGTATGGCTGGATTAGTAGTATTACAAGTATACGGACTGGTATGGCTGGATTAAAGTTTTAAAGGATACGGACTGGTATGGCTGGATTAGTAGTATTAAAAGTACACGGACTGGGACTGGATTACTAGTATTAAAATTACACGGACTGGTTTGGCTGGATTACTAGTATTACAAGTACACGGACTGGTATGGCTGGATTAGTAGTATTGGAAGTGCACGGACTGGTATGGATGGACTAACAGTATTACAAATACACGGACTGGTATGGATGGACTAGCAGTATTACAAGTACATGGACTGGTATGTTTGGATTACTAGTATTACAAGTACATGGACTGGTATGGTTGGATTAGTAGTATTGGAAGTACATGGGCTGGTATGGTTGGATTAGTAGTATTGGAAGTACATGGACTGGTTAAAGATTATTTACTCATTATAGATTAGATACTTGTTATAGATTATTTACTTATTATAGATTATTTACTTATTATAGATTATTTACTTGTTATAGATTATTTACTTGTTAAAGATTATTTACTTATTATAGATTATTTACTCGTTATAGATTAGATACTTGTTATAGATTATTTACTTATTATAGATTATTTACTTGTTAAAGATTATCTACTCGTTATAGATTATTTACTTATTATAGATTATTTACTTGTTAAAGATTATCTACTCGTTATAGATTATTTACTCATTATAGATTATTTACTTATTATACATTACTTACTCGTTATAGATTATTTACTTGTTATAGATTATTTACTCGTTATAGATTATTTACTTGTTAAAGATTATTTACTTGTTAAAGATTATTTACTTGTTATAGATTATTTACTTATTATAGATTATTTACTCGTTATAGATTATTTACTTGTTATAGATTATTTACTTATTACATATTATTTACTCGTTATAGATTATTTACTTGTTATAGATTATTTACTCGTTATAGATTATTTACTTATTATAGATTATTTACTCGTTATAGATTATTTACTCGTTATAGATTATTTACTCGTTATAGCTCTTTTTTTCCTGTTACAAGAACCCCCTACAGGACAGTCGTTTCGTAAGCCCACCCTTCGCGCATATGCGTTGTGTTAACACCTTCGCCACTCGGTTTTGTATCCCCAACTTTCATGACTCGTTGTTTTATATAAAACCTTTCACGACCAAGCGTTTTGTATTAACCCGTTCGCGACTACGCGTCCCTTCGCAACCAGCCGTAATGTATTATCAGGAAAAATAGGGGAGTTAATGAAGCATGAAACATTGTATATTTGATTAAAGAAAGGCTTTAGAAACTACATATTATTGTTTGTAATGTTTCAAATATATATGTGTTAAGTATGATCGTACAGCATAATAGCATTTATGTAGGTTACCTATATTCTCTATAGAAACAGGTTTACATGTCAAGTTTGTTTTAACTAAAATATATAACACCAACAATCTTCTACAAATTAATATAATATCCACGAATACTGTATAGCTTGCCTTACATAAACTGAGGCAAAGCTGAGCATCCCACATTTAAAATTATTATTTTATCAAACTCTGATACAAGTTATTCTGATTCAGTTGTTTTCCACGGTTTAGTGTTTGAATCATAAATACATCACATCATCAGTGTTAACATGGTTAACATCAGTGTAAATCGATTTCTGAACATGGTTAAAAAAAGAACATAAATAATCTAACACCTTTAAAATTTCATACTTATCATTTCACACAAGTGATGTTGGGCCAATCATTTATACTAGCGGTAACGTGTTCTGAGGAGTCTGTCAGTGGTATTAGCGTATTGTGTGAGTTACGTTAGCGGTACTGTGTTCTCTAAGTTATATTAGTGGCGTAGCTGTGGGTTACGTTAGCGATACTGTGTTCTGTAAGTTGTATTAGTTGCATAGATGTGGGTTATGTTAGCGGTACTGTGTTCTGTAAGTTATATTAGTGGCGTAGCTGTGGGTTACGTTAATGATACTGTGTTCTGTAAGTTATATTAGTGGCGTAGCTGTGGGTTACGTTAGCGATACTGTGTGTTCTGTAAGTTATATTAGTGGCGTAGCTGTGGGTTACGTTAGCGATACTGTGTTCTGTAAGTTACATTAATGGCGTAGCTGTGAGTTACTTTAGTAGTTTTGTGTTCTGTAAATTATGTTAGCGGTGTAGCTGTGAGTTACGTTAGCGATACTGTGTTCTGTAAATTATGTTAGCGGTGTAGCTGTGAGTTACGTTAGCGATACTGTGTTCTGTAAGTTATATTAGTGGCGTAGCTGTGTGTTATGTTAGCGGTACTTTTTTCTGTAAGTTATGTGATTGGTGTCATGTAGTTTGCGAATTAAATTATTTCGCGGTGTAATATGTTCTTTCAATTATATTATGTTATTGTATTAATGGTATATGTATGTTATGTTACTGAAGAAAGTATTTAATGAATGTTGCTATGCTAGTGTATGTTATGTTAACTAAGCAAGTATCTACTGAATTTTGTTATGTTAGGGTATGTTATGTTAATGAAGAAAGTATTTAATAAATGTTGTTATGTTAGGGTATGTTATGTTAACTAAGAGATTATTTAATGAATGTTGTTATGATGGGGTATGTTATGTTAATGAAGAGAGTATTTAACGAATGTTATGTTAGGGTATGTTATGTTAACTAAGAAATTATTTAATGAATGTTGCTATGTTAACTAAGAAAGTATTTAATGAATGTTGTTATGTTAATGAAGAGAGTATTTAACGAATGTTATGTTAGGGTATGTAATGTTAACTAAGAAATTATTTAATGAATGTTGTTATGTTAGGGTATGTTATGTTAACTAAGAGAGTATTTAACGAATGTTATGTTAGGGTATGTTATGTTAACTAAGAGAGTATTTAATGAATTTTGTTATGATGGGGTATGTTATGTTAACTAAGAAAGTATTTAATGAATTTTCTTATGTTAGGGTGTGTTATGTTAACTAAGAGAGTATTTAACGAATGTTATGTTAGGATATGGCTATGTTAATGAAGGGAGTATTTAATGACTGTTGTTATGTTAGGATATGTTATGTTAACTAAGAGAGTATTTAATGAATGTTGTTATGTTAGGGTATGTTATGTTAACTAAGAGAGTATTTAATGAATGTTGTTATGATGGGGTATGTTATGTTAACTAAGAGAGTATTTAACGAATGTTATGTTAGGGTATGTTATGTTAATGAAGGGAGTATTTAATGACTGTTGTTATGTTAGGATATGCTATGTTAACTAAGAGAGTATTTAATGAATGTTGTTATGATAGGGTATGTTAATGAAGAGAGTATTTAACGAATGTTATGTTAGGGTATGTTATGTTAACTAAGAAAGTATTTAATGAATGTTGTTTTTTATTGATGTATGTTGTGTTAACATGAATGTTTGCTGAATCGTGATGAGTAGGCTGCAGTATATTCATGGATTGTTTTATGTTAGCAACAGAGAGGGTTCCATTGTTTGTTTTTACTTAAGGACCATTTCTGTTTAAGTCAATACAATCAATGTTACGCTCTCTTGCTAACATAAAAGAAAGAGAAGTGAAATATATCAACGTTGTATTGATTTTTGTAGTAAAGATGGGTGACAGATAGTGATTGAGATTCACGTATCTTTCTTTTATTTATATTATATATAGATTTATTTTGTAGATAAACGTATCTCTAACTTTTTATTCCCACGTTCAAGTGATTTCGTAAAAAAGAGTGGAAATTGAATAATGAAATATCTTTAGTATTCCTTACCTAAATAATTATTGCAGAATATTGAGAACCTGACCAAGTTTAAATGTTTCTCTTTAATTTCTTGTTTTACGTAATTCGGAGTTTGGGATAAAAAAATAATACAGAAAATTTCGACAAAGCCTTGAGACAGACTAAGATTTTACAAAATGTTAGAAATTATTTGACGTACCTCAATAAAATTGGGACTCCTGTGGCGTTTCTGGTTTTCTGTCACGGTTTCTTATTGTACTTGTTTACAGCTTGCTGGACTTCTACTTTCTGGTTCTCTAGATCACGAAGCAGGAAAGTGTACTACGTTTTGTGTATTATTACAAAATTAAGAAGAACTAAGCTTTTTTAACTACAGAGGGCACTTTCATTTCTTCCAGTGAGGATAAAATGTCTAGTAATACTTTGGTCGCCACGAGTAATGAAATAACAAAAGTGATATTACAAATGGGAGTAAAATAACCAGACGGAAAAAAAACTTGTCAAACGAGGAAAATCGGTATTCGAGTCAAGAGCCCCAATTGAAGTTTGAAGGACACAATCAAAAGAGTTTTCCTGCTTCACTCAGGTACAAAAAAACTTTTTCTCAAAGTATACACTGAATGCTGCTACGCAATATATTTACTTTTAAATAATATTTTATGTTTAGTTTTCATCCGGGTAATTTTTAACTTTGTTTCTTATCTCGGAAGTTTAATAAAATAGCTTCAAAAAGTGAAAAACATGGGATACTTCTAGAAAGTGGTTTACACAGTGTAAAAATAGACTGTTATCGGTTAATTTTATAATTAGTACGGGATCTATCTGTAAAACTAACACACACACACATCCTTTTGAGTGAAAAGTATATTTGGGGCCATTTGCTACGTGGCGTATATAACTACACAGGATTAAAACACATGGTGTTAGGTCTGGAGGTCAGTGGCGTATATAACTACACGGGATTAAAACACATGGTGTTAGGTTTGGAGGTCGTGCAGGTCAAGCCACAGAACCAGCTCTAATGTCATTGAAAATTATTATTTAACCGGTTGTGGACGCTGGAAGTAAAATGGGTTGGTGCACCATCCACCACGTTCTGGTGGATCATTGCTTCTCTGAGGATTAGTTTAATGTACCACGTTCTGGTGGATCATTGCTTCTCTGAGGATTAGTTTAATGTACCACGTTCTGGTGGATCATTGCTTCTCTGAGGATTAGTGTAATGTACCATGTTCTGTGGATCATTGCTTCTCTGAGGATTAGCTTAATGTACCACGCTCTGGTGGATCATTGCTTCTCTGAGGATTAGTGTAATGTACCATGTTCTGTGGATCATTGCTTCTCTGAGGATTAGTGTAATGTACCATGTTCTGTGGATTATTGCTTCTCTGAGGATTAGTGTAATGTACCATGTTCTGTGGATCATTGCTTCTCTGAGGATTAGTGTAATGTACCATGTTCTGTGGATCATTGCTTCTCTGGGCTGTGTAGTCACCAACACATCATGCTTTCCAGTGACAACGTGTATAGTCACCAACACATCATGCTTTCCAGTGACAACGTGTGTAGTCACCAACACATCAAGCTTTCCAGTGACAACGTGTATAGTCACCAACACATCATGCTTTCCAGTGATAATGTGTGTAGTCACCAACACATCAAGCTTTCCAGTAAGAACGTGTATAGTTACCAACACATCAAGCTTTCCAGTAAGAACGTGTATAGTCACCAACACATCATGCTTTCCAGTAAGAACGTCTATAGTCACCAACACATCAATGCTTTCCAGTAAGAACGTGTATAGTCACCAACACATCATGCTTTCCAATGACAATGTGTGTAGTCACCAACACATCATGCTTTCCA